TGAACACCATACGATAGAAGAAACGTGACCTCGTAGGCTATTAATGCCACATTCGAGATTTGATTAAGCAACCTGCCCTTCAACACACCTAGCCATGTCTGGAGATGCATCTCCTGCACCCTCCAGTGATCGTGGGAACGAGTCAACATCATCAGATGGCGATGCCGAAGAGGAGCCGAATGTCGAGTCACTGGTCACTGGGAGAGCGAAACGCGCCACGGCAGGGAATCGGCTATCTTCACTTCTAGAAAAAGAGGGAGATGATGACCTCGAATTGCTTTTCGCTGAGAATGAAGGGGAGGAGGATGTTGAATTTGAGGACGAAGACGAGAACGCGTCCGATGCCCAGCTTGATTCATCTACGGATGAAGAAGACCAAGGTCCTACGAAGGTCGACGACGATGAAGATGGGGAGAGGGAGCTACAGAGGCAAGACAGATTCGAGCGACAGAAGAAACGCAAGGCCCAAGAAGTGTTCAAAAAACCCGGTCTTTTACGAAAGAAGGTCAAGATTGACCCCTCGGCTACTCCTACTACACCTGCGCCAAGGCCGAGAAAGAAGTCTGAGAGGGTGTCTTGGGTGCACACTGATGCTGATGCTCCGACGCGGGTCTCTTCTCGAAAACAGACTGTCCAAAACAGAGAATTGGTCCATCAAAAACTGGTGGACAGCGAGCAAACCCGGCTCAAGATAATGCACTCAATGGATCTAGCGCAGAAGCGCAAGGATGCTTCCAAGCCCAAGGCCTTGACCCAAGCCGACCGCATGGAGGAAGCTGCTAAAACAGAGAGGAAGAATGCAAAGAGCTTGAATAGATGGGAAGAGTCAGAGAAGAAGCGATCGGAGGAACAGAGAGCTAAGCTGGAAGCACTGCACAACCGGCAGCTGGCTGGTCCTGTGGTTACATGGTGGAGTGGCCTGGCTAGGTGGGTCAACGGCAAGATTTTGCAGCTCGGTGTTGGACAGATTAGAGAGGCCGGTCATGCAGAGAGACCGGTCATGCTTGACGAGGGGAAGTCCGCTCTGAACAGCAAAATGATCGCAGAGCAGGATTCGGCTGGAACCAAAGACGAGGATATAGTTATGTCTGAAAGCTCTCGGTCCGGGCTCGGAGCTGGAAATACGCAACATTCGCATCTACCAGATGCGCAGCAGGCGTCCTTTTCGCAGCAGATCACATTCACAGCGCCTCAAGTCCCTCACGGCTTTCTTGATGGCATACACGCTTACGCCGCCTTGCCAGTGCAGCAACATCAGGCAGAATTCACGGGAACCGCCGACGCTGATTCCCTACCTCAGCATTATCCTGAGCCGTCTTTTCCAAAACAATTAGAACAAGCTTCACTTGCGGCCCCACCCAACTCGTATTCCACCCCGGAAGTCGATATCAACAGTCGAACATTGGTGGCTATCAAGAACTTTGACCCCAATCCCATGAAGATGCCTGAACTACAAACCAGTGTGCTTCTAAAGAAACGCAACGTTAAACCAGCGAGTGAGTAGACTACTGTCAATCTGTTCCTGTCATCTCGCTAAGCTTTTCCGCAGAGCCGGTCTCAGAATCTTGCGCAATAACGATGCAGCCGGCTAAATTTCGAGATCCGAAGACGGGTTTGGCTTATGCGAATTCATACGCGTATAAAGAGATTCAAAGGCTTCGGACTGGAGCATCTCGGTGGAGTAACCTGCTTGATTGCTACGTGGGTCCTGTACAAAGCGTTGCCCGAGGTGTTCCTGAAAGGTTCTGGAAGGAGACGTGAAGCGATTGAACTGCGAGCAACGACTGGAACACGGCTGTCAAGATGACCCACACAGACTACCCAGCATGTTTAGATGGGCATCATCATCATCATCATCACCAGCCCCTGAGCTTGCGCGTTTATCACCTAGCAAAAGGTCAATTCCTCCCAAGCATGCCTTTACAGCTCATGCCAAGCCGAGGCGGAGCTCATGAAAGCTCGCAGAGAAGGCTGCTGGCTGAGCCAATGGACGAGTCCGTGCGAAGAAGGTTGGACATTCTGAGGTACTCTACGCGCAGAAAGGGGGAAGTGTGCAGGGAATGATTGGAAGGAAAGTTGCGCCATAGTGGATATTGGTCACGAGCGACAGAGCTGCATACCATATTGGCTCTGAACATGAGAACGAATGTCGAAATTGAAGCCAATGATTCGACATGGTATCATGGTGAGTTGAGAGGTGTACACTACCATTACATGCGGATGTGGTGCATGCGATGGGGGTGATGTCTGCGCAGGATGAGGTGACTTGGGAATCAAGAGTAGGTAGTATATGAAGCTGTAGAAGGCCACTTGCTCCAATGCACCTTTGAAAAGATCAATCAATGACTTTAGCTTAACTACTTATTAGTTACCCATTCATTCTACCGTGTACCCTGGTGGCTCCTTGGCAACAAAGCCGTTTGGTGGGGCTCTGCACCCTATCGGCGGGAAGGCGTTCTTTATCTTTCGAAGCTAAAGTACCTAAGGTACTCCGTAGTCAGTCAACAAACCTTACCTGACCTGACCCTGCATCTTTCGTCTTTCTTTCACATACTTCATACACCACCACCACCACCACCACCAGTTCTCCATATTACCGGAGTGCTTCATTCAATATTTTGATCCTTCTCACCTTTTTGTGCTGCGACCTTCCTCAACATCCACCATCCTTCTGGCAACTCAAACGCGGAGCACCGTCCCCTACTCCGCTTCCACGGCGATAAGCCACCCCTCTCATCCACGCCAAAGCCAACTGTTTCGGCCAGGAACCCGCCGTAAACAACCCTCACCCAATTCCTGCAGAGCCTCCCACCTTGCACCATTTCACTTTCTTTCTACACACCGACATACCTATTTCCTCACCGCCCAAACCCCAATTCTACACCGCCATTTGGAACAAAGGCAGCTCCCACCGCTGCCTCGAAATCCTGCACACAACTTCTCTCAATGTCCAGCAGCCACCATGCTCAAGTCCATGTCACCCGTCGATCTCCTCCAAATGTAAGGAAGGTCTACGTCAAAGCTCCTCCTCCTGTCCCTTCTTCAAAGGCTCCTGTCACCCCGAAGATCACCATCAAGGTTGCCAAGAGTACCAAGCATCCCAAGGACGACGAGGACGACACTTTCCAAGACGACGAGGACGACGATATGGCGTCAAGCTTCTTGCAATTCTGGTGAGGCACCGCAAATATACCTCTTCTTATGGTCTACAACCGCTGACTGGATCCATAGTGCAATGTGCGAGAAGCAAATCCTGGTCCCCAACTCTTCTATCCTTTACTGTTCGGAAAGGTACCCCACCCCGCTTCATCTCATCGTACATCTCACTGACAGAGATCCTAGTTGCCGTCGCCGTGACTCTGTCGTTCCCACCACCAATACCTACCTTAGCTTGGCCAGCCCCACGAAAATGGTGCCCTCCGCCTACTCCGACGATATCGATGACCCTTTCGGCTCTAAGATCCCTACCTACGTTGCCGCCATGCAACCTACCCCTCGCCCCACGAGCGACGCAAGGATACCTCCCGTGGCCCAGTAAGCACCCTTTCCAAGCGAGTCTCTCCCATTCTGTACCTTCTTTTGAGTCTAAACACATATTGGGGGATCAAAAGGTCAATTTTGCAATTTTCTGTCTAAGACATGTCTTTGGACTCTCACCTAGTCTTGAAGTGGCAATGCTGACTCCGAATTGATGAAGCAATGGCAAATCGGATCTCGACCCCACCGAGTGGAAGCCAGCTGAACCAATTCTGACGGAAACTAAATCACCGCCTAGTACAAAAGCTGGGGAGTGGAAGCCCAAGCTACCCCACCGTCCCAGCAGTGAGGCTTTCTCTTACCTCAGCAAATTCCATCGCTCGAGTGATTCGCTCTACTCGAAGCGTCGCCCTGCGCTTAGTCACGGTCGCAGCACCATCTCGAGCCGTACCACCCCGTCGCTCAGCCATACGCCCACTGCTAGCACCTCGAGCGAGGAGAGTCTGTCAGGGACGCCGTATGAATTTGTGGCTCGCCCTGCTCTCAGTATGCCGACTACGACCGCTTCCCATTGCAGGGACGGTGGAAAGCTTGCCCAGGTTGAGGAACATGATCTCACGTATGAGAAGAAATTTGTCGGAACGAGCTTGGGCTCTGCTACTGGAAGCTTGAAGAAGTTGCTAAGAACAGGAGAGAACTAGATTCTCTCGCTGTAGATTCTCTCGCTGAAGACGGTTGTTGGGAGAGTGCGTGATATGTCAGTAAGACGCGCGAGTATACATGAACATTGTATACGGCTCTCGTTTCCTTCCTCTCTTCAGCCGAATCTTTATTCTTGTTTGAGTGGTGCCGGGGTTCCATAACGATATCTGCCTGCAGGAGGAGGTGAATGCACTTGTTTCATTAATTGTGCATGCGAACATAATATGCTATCATGGGTACCAGTACCGATAGCTTTGATTGGCCTACTCAGATATGATGCAAAATCCTGTTCTCATTCTCAACCATCCTTCTGATTGTAGTCCAATCACGGGTCCTCTTTGTAAGGATAGCTAGGTTTTAAGTACTTTATTTCACCATGTTTTTCGTATTATGCGAAATAAAATACCGGTCATATGAAACGTAAGACTTTGGTCTAATACTTCTCCAACTGATTATTTTCTTTTCGTCTTCATGGCTATCCTATGCTATCCTATCTTCTAAGGTACAAAGTCCCCTTTTCTCCTGCCCCGTCGATATTCTGGAGTCTGCAATGATGCTTTCTTTCTAATCCGCTCTTCTGCCCTTCCTACATTTTGCGCTCAAATCAAAGTGCTACTCCTTGGCCGCGAGCCACGCGAACGGGGCATTAAAGATTAAGAATAAAACATTTGCACGAAGTGAACGTAAGCTTCGGCGAACTTGGGTACCTGAAGACAAGATGAACGCCCCTTAGTATCCAAGCGCACACGCCGGTATTGCGCGATAAAGGAAATTTGGAAACATTTTATTGTACAATGGACCGCGTCGATGATCTCTCTCGGTCACTGCGCGCCAGCGCTCTCCTCTGCCCATCCATTCAGACCCCAGCTGGCATTGCCAAAGCCCAAACCGCTGACGCTGCTCAGCTGATGTCTGTGGCTGTAATGCTGCTGCGAGCTTTGCTGCAATCCCTGCTGCTGCTGCTGCTGCTGCTGAGACTGCTGGCCCTGGTTCCCGCTATTGGTGAAAGCTTCTTGTGAGAAAGCAGGTAAGCTGACAGCGCGAGCATGCTGCTGATTGCGCGAAGGCGCGAGCAAGCCACCAATAGTAGGCGCAGCGGTAGACAAACCAATCCCGTTAACGCCTTGACTATAACTACTGCTATGCCCCTGTTGTTGCGGTGCATCGAGCATGCCGCTGCTGAAAGCGTCATTGTTGGAGTTTCCGTAGATAGCGGCTTGCTGATTAGCAAGGACTTGTTGTTGCTGCTGTTGTAGAGTGGCAACAGAGTAAGGGTCCACCTGCTGCTGCTGTGACTCTTGCTCTTGCTGGGTCTGTTGGAGGGACATTTGGTTGAGGTACATTGTCAAGGGATTGTTACTGCCGGCGTTCAGGATCGCAGACGGAGTATGCGCATGGTTGGATTGCTGATGGAAATGGAAGCCATTTTGTGAGTTGGAGCCGGTGGAACCCGGTGCGGGTGAGAGTGTAGCTCTTGTGGGGCTGACTGAGGATCCATTGTGGCTCATCGACGGGTGTAGACTTCCATTCATTGGTGATGGCGACGCCATGCTATCGTGTCCATGCATGGAAGGATTTTGCTGTTGCGATGCGAGATGATTGTTCTGTCGAGGCGCATTTCCGCAGCGATCTTTGCCAAAGTTCACTTTGAATCGTTGGTAATCCTCTCTGCTTCGAATGGCCTCAATTGCCTTGATGGCGTTTGAGATATTGGTGAAGTTGACAAACGCACAGCTCTTCTCTCGGAGTGTATTGACAAGTTCAATCTCACCATATTCCGAGAAATCTTGACGCAGGCGCTCTTCGGTCCACGATTCGTCTAGATTTCCAATGTAGACGTTCCGAGAAGCACCCCCACTAACAGCTAGAGCTATCGCTGGGGGCAGAGCACCTGAATGCTTACCCCAGCCAATCTTGAGCCTCCTATTATGAATCATGAGCCCTTGGATGTTACTTAGCGCGTAGAAAGAAGCGGCTGATGTAGGATCGATGAATGTCACAAAGCAGATATGCTTGTCAGGAATGTACCTGATGTGGTGCAAAAGACCACCTCGAACGACATTGCAAATCTCTTCAACTGTGGTCTCTGGATGAATGTTTCCAAGATATACGGTACGATTTCCAAGATTGTTCACTCCTCCAGCTTGGGTTGCCACGGCCGCTGCTGCAACTGACTGTTGAGCTAGTGCATTGGAGATCAAGTCACGGTCCGCTCCATTTAGCATATGTGCATAGCCGGGAGCGATACCAAGGTACTGAGCTGCGTTCTGCTGTTGCGTCTTGGAGACATAAGCACATCTGTCCTTGCCGTAGTAGACACGGCGAGGGGCCTGCCATTTGGGTTCTTGAGGCAGCTGCGAGACAGCTTTGATAGCGTTGCTGATTGAAAGAAAATGAACAAATCCAATCGCCTTTTCACGCACAATCTTGACAGTGTCGATGGGCCCAAACTTGCCAAGATCGTCTCTTAATTCAGCTTCAGTCACTGTCTCCGGCAAGTTACCCAAATAAACATTCCTAGATGCACCCGATTGTTGCACTGCAACGGAGACGGATGTAGGAACTTGTGCTGGTTTTCCCCAGCCAACCTTAATATCCTGACCGCGTATAGCAAGCTTCTTCAAAATCGCGTCCGAATGAAAATGAGTGGCTGAGCTACCATCGAGGAATGAAATGAATGCACAATTCTTATCTGGAAGTAGCCGGACAGACTCGATCTGTCCACTCCGGACATGGCCAAGTATCTCTTCAGCCGAGGTCTCAGGAGGTATGTTACCAAGATACACGGTCCTGCTGCTGGCGTTGCCCATAGTCGGCGCCATCTGCATTGGTGCAGCTCCACCAAATCCCTGATTTCCGATGTTGCTGAATGTGCCAGTTGGTGACTGAGGTCCTCCCAAAAATTGCTGCACTCCATAGTTGGTCGGCGAAACCATATTCTGATATGATTGAGGAGAGAATGCACCATGTTGGTGGTTTATGGGATTGTCAATCTGCGTTTGCTGATTTTGTTGATGCGCAGCAGAGTTTTGCTGTTGAAAACCGCCAAATGTGTTGAATTGAGGCGTGGCTGGCTGGAAAGGACTGCCGATGAGTAGATTAGTTGGCAGAAGAGGGGTGAAATTCATGTCCATGGCTGTTCCGGGAGTGGTCATGTCGTTTGCATTTTGATGGTTTGTTTGCCCATAGTTGCCAGTGTTGATAGACATATTCGCTCGATGTGGGTGCCTTCGAGCGTAACCTCCAACAGAATGCTGGTTCGAGCTGTATGCACCGTGAGAAAAGCCAGTCTCGTTGCTGTTGGCATTTGCGGATTTCGAAAAAGAGTTTGAGAAACGCCCTGCTGGCGCGTAGGGAGAAGTATCCATTGCGGACTCTTGGGGCTGCATTCCGAGCAGATGCGGTGGCAGGACGAAGCTGCCCTGCTGATGTGATGCTACGGCAGCCGTGTTGGATGGTGGGAGTGTTCGGATGATAAACTCCGAACACAGTAATTGGGTATGAGGTTGTTTCGTGAACGCGTCTGGTAGTTGATAGTCGAAGAAAAGTGCTTATGGTACAGGTGGACAGCTATTCGAGAGGTAGTGTTAGGATCTGCACCCGTTAGAACCAAAGGAGAATAGAAGATGTGTTGCGAGAAGGACAGTTGGCACACCTTTCAAGAGATAGGATACGCGGGTGAAAAGGGAGCGCCGACGAGCTTTGTGGTTCAATCAAGGTTTGAAAGGAGGATGTCCACGGTGATGGTACCAAAAGTACTGGTCTTAGCCAAGATGGTTGAGCAGTCTTATTGCGTATTTTGGGAGGGTATCAGATCGGGGGACCTGTGCTTCTCTCGAGATAGGGCCGCTTTCAGGACGTGTTGATGTTGGAATGCCGGATGGGCTTGTATGTTGAGCAAACAAAGAGAGGGTGATCGAATGTTTGAGACGATGTAAGAATTATATTAATAGAAGTTGCAAATGAGTGCTACCTGAATTAGAAGGGTGTTAAAGATTAGAAAAGAATGTAGTGGCACGAGAGCTGCCGGAAAAGAGGATAGAAAAAAAGGTTGAGAGAGGAGAGAGAGAGAGACAGAGAGAGAGGGGAGAGTTGAGAAATGTCCCTGGAGTACGGGTAGAAGTTAGGTAGCTACTTTTAGCAGCCGGGCTAATAATTGGGGCTCGGCAGGGGTCAAATAACCCCCTTTCTCTTTCCCTTTTCCCATTCCCTTTCCCATTCCCTTTTCTCAGCCACATTATTATTTGGTTCATCAAGGTAGCTTCGTCTTGCTCTACATCTATGCCGCGTTGGTTTGTGTCATATGAAGCCTTAGGAACTTTAGAAGTTGTTAGGGTAGGAGTCAATGAAGTAAGTGACGCTACAGCATCTCCATTCTTCAATGATGATGATGATGATGACGATGATATTCCAGGGGCAGAGCATTGGGCGCTCTAGGGATCGAACCCGAGGGATTTAAGTATGTAATGTATGATATTGGTACCTGTACCTGATCTGCAACGCACGCACGGTACCTACAGTACTTTATATTTGATGCTTAATTTCCCTCTCTAATTTCCCTCCCTCTTTTTATAGCAACGTCAAAGCCACACTTGACCTCGCCCAGCCGTTGCACCTCGCCTTGACTTGACTTTTTCCCAACGGTCACTTGTACCGAGTAAAATCTTGTTGGACATACCCAAGTATTTAAATACGAAAACCCCGAGGGATCTGAACACACTGTTGCCAATATCTTTGGGCTCATTCAGCTGTCTTATCACAATTCAAAAAAAAAGTAACCCTTGATTTCATTGGATGCCGGTCGGTCAATCTGACAAATCTGGCCTTCACTACCTTTACCTGAACTGGACCTCACATTCACGAACAAATTGAATGCCAATATTTGCTCCCTTGTTTAATTGGACGAGAATCAGACCGGTATACTTCCTACTTCAAACATCATCACGCACGCCCGAATGCCCGAGACTAAATGCCCGAGACTAAGAGGTAAGTGATCCGTAAGTATATGTCCGTTCCTACGCATCTCGACACCAAACACCAAACCGAAATGCAGATTGATCCCGGAAGGACCCCCCGGTCACTTGATGTCTTACAGGTGCCGGCATCGGGCTTTTCAATTGCTGCTCTAATGCGCCCATAAGATTCCCCAGAGACGTGCTACCCAAATCATGAAAAGCGTCATCCATACAACCCCAACCTTTGGAGGTTTCTTTGGCAGTATTGCCACAGCAATGATTACCTCACGCGGGCGGTATTGCCACAGCCATGATTACCTCACGCGGGCGGTATTGGTGCAACGGAACGACCTGTGAGAGGACCCATATCCTCAGCATTATACAGCCCCCTCTTCGGACGTCGTGTGAAGCCAAGCTCTGTAGACTGTATAACTTGTATCATGCCTGCGAATCTCGAATTTGGGTAATTCTCGATGACCCGTCCAACACGTTACCGACTTCAAATTTAATTGCTCAGGTGGGGGAGACTGGACTGAAAACTCATGGGTTGGTCATTTGGAAGAAAACTTCTGGCCCTGAACCACGGGTCCACCGCTAGACGCCATGCTCTTGTTCTGGGTCTTACCACAGATGGCGCAGGCTAAAATGTACAGTCAGCCCATTGCTCTTGGTGGGAACTGCCAAAATTAGCCAGAACAAAACGTACCGTTGCCAGTCTTGTAGGCACATCGATTGCAAAATTTGTGGCCTTGATCTACCTATGGCCCGTTTAGCTAGATACACTTCTCTTCCCTCACAGAGCTTTTGACTATACCTTCGTCTTGCATGTTGCACATGTAGAGCTGTAAGCTGCGTATGGATTCAATGCACCTTTGCTGAGGAGTTTACTCTGTGTCAAACATGTCAACTAGGCTGCACGACAGTATGAGAACATGCAAAGCAGCCTGGCCTACCTTCCCGACGCCGGAGGCGTTTGATGTAGCTGAGGATTTGCCTTTGTCATTGGAGGCAGGCGAGCCTAAATACAAGTCATTTTTGCGCTTAACGCCTGGTGTGGCAAGCTCTGTTTTCTTTTGTGATTTCTGGCACTTGGCGCAGACCATCTTATATCTGGTATGATCCCAGTCGGAAGGTAACTGAATAAGAGTGAATTGTGTCTTGACGCCCCGCTTGACTCCGGGAAAGTCAGGAGTCAGGACTGTGATTAGGGATAGACTGCGGATGAACATCGGCCCGAGAAGCTCCGGGTCTCGCGGTTTGAGGCAGTGAGTAAGTACGAGTAAGCTGGCATTGAACAACCAGTTGTTGAACTTCCAAAGTCTCAGAGAAACATGCCACATTCCGTATATGTGTGAACAGCACACATGTATAGGGCTTCAGACCAATTGATGTTAAGCATTATCCTGCCCGCTTTGCTGAGACCATATCCCTCTGGTCGAAGGCAGGTTCGGGACACCTGCGTCTCATTGCGACATGGCTGCTAGGCTACCAGGAGTAGAGGGCCAGGCAGCTCCAAATCCTGGGGGTCCGCTTCTAGATCTCGACGACTCGAGTCCCACATACAACAATGGCAGGCCTCCTCCCGTCAACGATGAGGAGCTCCTCCATCAATACAATATCGATCACTCCGTCAGGCCGCAACCTCGCCCCTCTGTATCTTACGATGAGTTCGTGGGTGCACAGCAGTCATCCCATGGCTTGCCAGGTAGTCCGGGGGTATCGCGCGCTGGACAACCGTACCTGGGTATAGGGATTCGGACTTATTCACAAACTTCCGATTTGAACAACTATCAGCGGTACTCAGATATGGACGATCTTCCCGAAGACGATCCTTCCATGCAGGGAGGCTTCTATCACACCTCTGGTGCGGTGGATTCAGGGCCAACTCCGATGGTCAGTGGAGGACGGCATGCAAACCGGAACAGTATGGGAGGAGGCATCATGGGAAGGGCAAAGACGTTGTTTGGCAGGGGACCAGAATATTCGGAAATGGACATGCCGTTGCGCGAGACAACGCCCGGTCAGCCCAGAATGGACAGCGATATGACTGAAGACCAGGCTAAGAAGGCAGAGCACAAGAGATTCGATCCAGGGAATTTCAAATTTGGGCTCGGGAGAGGGAAGCCCGATCCATCCACTCTGGGCCCGAGATTGATACATCTCAATAATCCGCCAGCGAATGCACAGAATCGGTACCTCGATAATCATGTATCCACAGCAAAGTACAACATCGCGACTTTCCTACCCAAATTTCTGTTCGAGCAGTTCTCTAAATACGCCAATTTGTTCTTCTTATTTACAGCAGCTTTGCAGCAGATACCAGGCATCTCTCCAACTAATCGATATACCACCATTGGGCCCCTCATCATCGTACTGCTTGTTTCCGCCGGAAAGGAGTTGATCGAGGATTTCAAGCGCAAGAACTCGGATAAGTCACTCAATCACTCCAAAACTAAAGTATTGAGGGGATCAAATTTCGAAAATGTCAGATGGGTTAGTGTGAAGGTGGGAGACATTGTAAGAGTAGAATCAGAAGAACCGTTCCCAGCGGATCTGGTACTACTGGCTACCTCCGAGCCCGAAGGTTTGTGCTACATCGAGACAGCTAACCTTGATGGCGAAACAAATTTGAAGATCAAGCAAGCTATTCCGGAAACTGCGAGCCTTGTGAGCCCGAACGAGCTTAGTCGGTTGTCTGGCAGGGTCCGTTCAGAACAACCAAATAGCAGTCTGTACACGTATGAAGCAACTCTGACGATGACAGCCGGTGGCGGCGAAAAGGAATTACCCCTGGCACCAGACCAATTGCTCCTCAGAGGGGCGACCCTCCGCAATACTCCTTGGATCCATGGTATTGTCGTCTTCACTGGCCATGAGACGAAGCTTATGCGTAACGCTACGGCGACTCCCATCAAAAGGACCCATGTGGAAAAATTGGTGAACCTGCAGATTATCATGCTAGTTGCAATTCTTGTGGCACTGAGCATTATAAGCTCTGTCGGCGATCTCATCATCCGAGCCACGGCAACCAGCAAGCTTGCATATCTATATATCGAAGACACCGGCCTTGCGAAGCAATTCTTCTCCGACATCTTTACCTACTGGGTTCTTTACTCCAACCTCGTGCCAATATCATTATTTGTAACGATCGAGGTCGTCAAGTATTGGCAAGCATTCTTAATCAACTCGGATCTTGATATCTACTACGACCGAACGGACACTCCCGCAATATGCCGGACGTCGTCCCTGGTGGAAGAACTAGGACAAATTGAGTATATTTTTTCGGACAAGACTGGCACCCTTACCTGCAACATGATGGAATTCAAGCAATGCTCGATAGCAGGTATACAGTATGCGGATGAGGTGCCTGAGGATCGACGAGCCACGGAACAGAACCCCGTGGGCATCTACGACTTTAAACAACTTGCCGAAAACCGGAGAAAACACCCAAGCCAGACCTCCATTCATCATTTTCTGGCGCTTTTATCAACATGTCACACGGTCATCCCAGAAAGAAGGGACGAAAAGCCTGGCGAGATCAAATATCAGGCGGCTTCACCAGATGAGGGTGCTCTGGTTGAAGGTGCGGTGATGCTGGGCTATCAATTTACGGCTCGAAGGCCCCGCTCTGTGACGATTTCAGTAGAAGGTGAGGAGTATGAGTATCAGCTGTTGGCTGTTTTAGAATTCAATTCAACACGAAAACGTATGTCGACAATATTCAGATGCCCCGATGGCAAAGTGCGCTGCTACTGCAAGGGAGCTGATACCGTCATTCTGGAGCGACTTGGTAAGGACAGTCCAACAGTTGAGGCAACCTTGCAGCATCTGGAAGAATACGCTACGGAGGGTTTGCGTACATTGTGCCTAGCAATGCGCGAGATACCAGAGGAAGAGCTCCAGCAATGGCTGCAGATCTTTGACAAAGCAAACACGACTGTCAGTGGGACCCGTGGTGAAGAGCTTGACAAAGCAGCAGAAATCATCGAGCATGACTTTTTTTTGCTTGGTGCCACAGCTATCGAAGACAAGCTTCAAGACGGCGTACCAGATACCATCCATACTCTTCAAGAGGCAGGCATCAAAATCTGGGTTCTTACGGGTGATCGACAAGAGACTGCCATTAACATTGGCATGAGCTGTAAACTCATAAGCGAAGACATGACACTGTTGATCATCAATGAGGATAATTCGCCGGCTACGAGAACCAATATAGAGAACAAGCTCACTGCCATACGAAATCAGTCAGCGGGAGGTGCTGAGCTAGAGACGCTAGCTCTAGTCATTGATGGCAAATCTCTGACTTTTGCTTTGGAAAAAGACATGGAGAAGATGTTTCTCGAGCTTGCGATCATGTGCAAAGCTGTGATATGCTGGTATGTGTCATTCGTTTCGGATGGTCTGATGAGTGCTAACATGATTCCTAGTCGAGTTTCGCCTTTGCAGAAAGCACTGGTTGTGAAGCTTGTCAAAAGGAACCTAAAGGCAATTCTACTGGCGATTGGGGATGGCGCCAATGATGTCTCCATGATACAGGCAGCACATGTCGGAGTAGGCATAAGCGGCGTTGAAGGTCTTCAGGCAGCGCGAAGCGCCGATGTAGCTATCGGACAATTCCGATATCTTCGAAAGCTCTTGCTAGTACACGGCGCTTGGAGCTATCAGCGAATTTCGAAGCTGATTCTCTACTCCTTTTACAAGAACATTGCATTGTACATGACACAATTTTGGGTATTTATATCCGGTTTGGTTGACGTGACCTCCTGGCTAACACTTGAATATAGTATTCGTTCCAGAACGCCTTTTCTGGTGAAGTCATCTTCGAATCTTGGACCTTGTCCTTCTACAATGTCTTCTTCACCGTCTTTCCACCAGTTGTAATAGGGATTTTTGACCAATTCATTTCGGCTCGTCTCCTCGATCGCTATCCACAACTATACCAGCTTGGACAGAAAGGTGTGTTTTTCAAGATGCATTCTTTCTGGTCCTGGATTCTCAATGGGTTTTACCATTCTCTTCTCGCGTACTTCATATCTGAGCTCATCTGGTTCTGGGATCTTCCCCAAAGCGACGGAAAGATAGCTGGCCATTGGGTTTGGGGGACCGCTCTATACACGGCAGTCCTCGCAACTGTCCTAGGGAAAGCGGCACTGATTACGAATATTTGGACGAAATGGACTTTCCTCGCCATCCCTGGGAGCATGGTCATCTGGTTGGCATTTATCGCTGTCTACGCAACGGTCGCCCCCAAACTCGGCCTTTCCACCGAATACGATGGTGTAATCCCACGACTCTTCACTTCTCCTGTCTTCTACCTGATGGCGGTAGTGTTACCCGTGATCTGCCTCCTCCGAGACTTTGCGTGGAAGTACGCTAAACGCATGTACCGGCCTCAAACGTACCATCACGTGCAAGAGATCCAGAAGTACAACATCCAGGACTACAGGCCCAGAATGGAGCAATTCCAGAAGGCGATCAGGAAAGTGCGACAAGTACAGCGGATGCGAAAGCAGAGGGGCTATGCTTTCAGTCAGGCGGACGAGAGTCAAAATAGGGTGCTGCAGGCCTATGACACGACTAGGGAGCGAGGAAGGTACGGTGAGATGGCGAGCTCAAGGCCAGGAATGGAGAGGGGCAAATCACGGAGGAAATGAATGTAGGAATCAAAAAGGGAAACCATGGCGTCTGTCGGGTTCAAATGTCGGGCGGAAGCAGTATTTTTTGTATCATATCGGCGCTCGAAAAAGGCAATTTTGCCATCTGCTCTTTTTCAGGCATGTTGGAGGAGTGATATCTAGCATGGTTCGAGTTCTCATCAAGTCTTTGATGTATTCACTTTGGCCTTCGTTTGAATCCAGGCGTCTGTGGGATGCCGGCTTAGCACAAAGCAGATTGCCGGCATGATTTCTCTCCCTTCCTCCATGCCATGGCATCCTTGATGTGAACTCTCGTACTCCGTACAGTCCCAAGTCATCTTGTAGTTAGCACTCTGAGTATCTGCATTCAAGGCCTTTTCTCCACAACCCTCCTATCAAATGATCATAAAGGGCAGTCAGTTGAGGCTTTCCAAACCACGAAATCAGTCAGAATGGGATTCCCTGCGCTGAAGAACGGTATCAACAGACGGGCAATTGCCTGCCATGGACGTATTCCGGGATTACGGACGTTGCCATTTCCAGCTGTAGGCATAATCGTTGGATTGGTGTTTGCAAATGCCATCGTCTGGGTGGCAATCGGTATTCTTCTTGTCTGGCATCTCCAGCACTGTTCCTCTACGCCTCCTCACTGATGCAATCATAGCACTTTCATATGTACGGAATCCTAGAAGAATCCAGGAGCAAAAGGTACTGAGTCCAATCTGTACAGAGCTCTCGTCTCCACGGCCGTGCTGAGTTACACTCTCGGTCTCCGCCATGCTCTCGATGCGGACCACATTTCCGTATGTACGCTTTATTCTAGCTGGCAGGCACACGGGTTTCTCACCGAGAAGACAGGCAATCGATCTGATGACTCGTCGGCTCATAGCATCAGGTCAACGTCCGGTTACTGTTGGAACTTTCTTCTCTCTTGGTCATTCAACGTTCGTCTCTTCTACTTGTCACATGTTGCAAGCTCCGTCTGTTTTACTGACACGGCTCTCTGACCTCGTCTTCTTGCAACAGAATCGTCATTGTCACTTCCGTGGTAGTCGCCGCCACGGCCTCTGCTATCAGCTCCAGGTTCGGGGCATTCAGTAAGATTGGGGGCATCATCGGTACATCTGTCTCTGCTGGCTTTCTTATTATACTTGGAATTACGAACATATATATTCTACACAAACTTGTACAATTGATGAGAAAGTTGATCGCTTCAGCCCCAGGGGATGAGCAAAGTTTTGAAATCAAAGGAGCTGGATGCCTATTCTATCTTTTCAAAAGGATGTTCAAGCTTATTGACCGGTGGGAATGAATCTTGCAGGCCCTTCCTGGTGAGATCTATGGCTGACTATAGGCTCCAGTCCATGGAAAATGTGCAGTCCACTCGAGACCCCTCTTTCAGCACACGGTGCAGGATCATGCAAAGCTAATCAGCAGGTGTCTATTCTTAGGTACCCTTTGGGCCTGTTGTTCGGCCTTGGCTTCGACACTTCTTCAGAGGTCGCACTACTGGGGATTGCATCTATTCAAGGGGCGAAAGGCACAAGCATATGGCTCATTCTGATATTTCCGGTGCTGTTCACCGGTATGAGTCCTTGCTGGAGCTGTTCATAGATGGTCATTAGCTTACCAGAACAGTTGGGATGTGCCTGCTCGATACCATTGATGGTGCCTTGATGATGGCTTTATATACCTCTACAGCACTTGCAAAGGATCAGATCGCTATACTGTATTATTCGATTGTGCTCACGGTCATCACGGTTATGGTAGCGATGATTATAGGATTTGTTCAACTGTTGACTCTCGTACGTATTTTTGGCGTCTGAAATCCCTCGTCCGACCTCAACCTTGAGCCTGAAGACATGTCTAAGGAGTATTTGCTCCTCAGAATTGTCCCGTGGCCCGGGAATCTTTCTTGGACAGGCAATGCTGACTCCGAAACCTCTATCCAGGTCCTTAACGTTGCTCAGCCCTCAGGTAAATTCTGGGTGGGCACTTCAACCTATTCCGATTACCCAGCAGTAATACTGACGTCGACGCTCAGGGCGGAGTTGCAGTAGCCGGTGACCATTATGACGTTATTGGTAATGTTCCAGACCTCTCTTGCGTCGGACACGTTTGACATGAGGCCGCAGGTGGTGCTATTTGTGGCTCCTTTGTCGTTTTTGGTGGCTTGAGTGCACTGTTGTATAAACCCTGGCGGAGAAGAATCGACCGCAGAAGAGAGAGACATCCACAGCATCAGCAGTTGCAGAACGACAAAGGATTGGGTACTTTGCCTGAGCTTAATGGAGTATTACTGGATTTTGACGTTTCCCAAAGAGACGGAGAGACGCCGACTAATGGCAACGACAATTCAGACAACCCGAATGTTTTCGAAGCTGAAATACTTCCGACCTTCACTAGCTGCCATGGTGCACCTTCTCGATCAGCAGTGGTGTAGTGAAAAAGGGAAGACATATTGCATGGGCAGACTGATAATGAGACCCCGCATGTGAGTTTTAGCTGTGTTATAGAGGAAGGGCAGAGTTCAAGACATTTTATTCGCGCCGTGCAATGCACGCTATGACATATATACAATACATGATTTCTCCTCCTTACCTTTCAGGTAGTATATTTTTTACGGCGTTCCAATTTCGTGGATCGAATGCTTTCTGTATCTCCTCTTTCGTCAACCATTGAAAATCTTCAAGCCCAAATTGATTGTCCTTCAGGTTTGCTTGCCCGGCCAAGATCCTGGCTTTCATGAAGAATATTTTCTCTCCCCGCAGCACTGTCCCTTTCTCCTCGTTGACAATGCCTTGGCTGTAGTTGCAGACCTGGTGGCCAATTGGTATATTTCCCACGACCCAAGTATTCATGTTCACACCACCGGTCTGGACGATCGTCCTCTCCGCACTCTGCAAGAATTCGTTTCAGCATCGCGAGCCCGGCCTGCTGCAGAACGATATCGACTTACCGTATGCAAGCTCTCTTGTCTCGCCAACTCAGCAGAAGGAAACCCCCATCGTCCTTTCCCTCTGTTGACAATCAAATACAACGTCTTCTGCAAAGCCCTGTTCAGACTCTTCGTATCGCCGGCTTGATCCGCCTCTGTGACCCTCGGCAACGGCCTCTCTACTTCCTCTTTCTTTACTACCTTCCCTTCCCCTGGGACATCTCGTTCCTTGACCTCCACCTCGGCATCAATCAAAAGCCTCTCCACTTGCTCCTCGGGCTCGCTCACACTATCCCCCACCAGTAACTCATCATTCCATCCTTCCACCCCATAAGCATTGTATACGCCGATATCTCGGGCGGGTGTTTTCCGCTCTTTTATCTTGCGCTTCCAATCGATGTCTCCTGGCGTGCCGCGCTGATAGTAGAAGTAACGAGTGAATGGCAGAGCAAGACGCTCATTTAGGCGACGTTGATAGAGGAAGTAAGATTTCTCGAAAGGGGTGAGATCGCGGGTCAAGAGGGGCGGGCGTGAGAGAAGGACAGCGGCTTTCAACTTGTAGGTGATGGAATGAGACTGAGAAGCTGTGAGAGGTGGTGGTGCACGATTGGTAGGGGAAGGTTCAATGGGAGCTGTCTCGACGGAGGCGGCGGCGCTGGAGGCAGTGCGGATTTGATGGAGACATGTACGGCAGATTGGTGTAGACGGTCCTTGGCACATTAGCCTGAGGTATAGACTTATGACTTACGGAGCATGTTGGTTACATACTTGACCGCAAAGCCAGTCGCTGAATTGTGGTACGGTCGCGAGTCATGACATTGATTGGTTTCAATTTCCAGAGCAAGTCATTGTTGAATGCTCATTTGCATGCATATCAGATTTATTTCCTAGAATTAGGCTAAACCCTCTTTGGCCGACGTATCAATCCTATTATCAAGCGCACCTCGGCATTGTCGATTCTAAAAATCCATCACATCCATCAAATCATACGAGGCGCGAAAAGATGAAATGCAAAGAGTCGTCGTCACAGGGCTGGGAGCAGTGACACCTTTAGGACTAGGTAAGTGGACCGAGAATGCATCCATTCTACACATTCATGACTGAACGATTTAGGTGCTCCGCGTACCTGGAAAAGATTGCTGGATAGCAAATGTGGCATTGTCTCTCTTGCTGGCAGGAGTGAAGCCCATGCGCAACAGCAATGCCAAGTCGCAGGTCTCGTTCCACGGGGAAAGAAAGAGGATGGCGGCTGGACTGCAGGCGAATGGTTGAGTGGTGATGTGCGCCAGATATGATTACGTCTTGTTGACAAGAAGTACGGCGTTGACAATCTTTAGGAGCAGCGCAGAATGTCAACATTCATGCAGTACGCTATGCTGGCCTCGAGCGAGGCTCTCGAGGATGCGGTATGGCGGCCAAAAACTGATCATCAGCGTGAAATGACCGTAAAGCATGACTCTTCCAAATGTCCAATAGCACGATCCAGCTGAACTGGATATCAGGGCGTATGTCTAGGCTCTGGTATTGGAAGTCTAGAAGTGCAGTATCAGACCTCGATCCATCTCTACCAAGGTGTGAGTTCGATCAACCCATCGTCCTACAGTAAAAGACCTGACAGCACCCAGGGTCCTAAAAAGGTCTCTCCCTTGTTCGTACCTAAGCTCCTCATAAATTTAGCTGCTGGTCACATAGCCATGAAATATGGCTTCAAGGTTCGCATTTTCTCATTACTACCCGTGCTACTTCATCTGATCACAGATCAGGGCCCTTCCCACGCCGCAACAACCGCCTGCACGACCGGGGCTCACTCTATAGGTGACGCCTCACGCTTCATTGCCTTTGGCGACGCAGACGTAATGATAGCTGGTGGCTCAGAGTCCTGCATCCACCCTCTTGCCTTCGTCGGGTTCGAACGCTCCCGCTCTCTAACCACTTCCTTCAATCATGCCCCTGAGCAGGCCTCTCGCCCATTCGATGCGGCTCGGGATGGTTTCGTGATTGGAGAAGGAGCTGCTGTACTCGTCCTTGAGTCTCTCCCCCACGCACTTGCTCGTGGTGCCCACATCTATGCGGAGGTTGCCGGCTATGGCACCTCCTCTGACGCGCACCACATGACCGCCCCTCCCTCGGACGGTAATGGTGCCTTTCGTGCTATGCGTTTGGCGCTCAAGAATGCTTCTCTGCCACCTGGCAGTGTCGATTATATAAATGCACATGCTACTTCCACTTCCTTGGGTGACCTCGCCGAAAACCGCGCAATCAAGGCATTGATGTTGGGAGAGAACGGTAAAAAGCATGCAAAGGAGATCAATGTTAGCAGTACGAAAGGTGCTGTGGGACATCTTCTGGGTGCGGCAGGGGCAGTGGAAGCATTGTTCTCTGTTTTGGCAATCAGAGACGGGATCTTACCGCCGACATTGAACTTGACAGATTTGGAAGGATCGGAGTTCAGTTGCAATTACGTTGCTCTGGAGGCGCAAAAGAGTAAAGTAAATGTGGTGCTCTCGAACAGTTTCGGGTTTGGTGGAACCAATGCAAGCTTGTGCTTTAGACTGTATGAAGGAAAGTAGTCAACAGATGGCATGTGTCACGAGCAATTGTAGTGTGAGGTGTGGGGTAATATGAGTATGCTATTTGTCTCATCATGTCCATAGTCGCTCTCCATGGGGGACCTATCCTCTGCCGGCGGTCGTACGCCATCCAGCTCAAAACACCGCCCAAGCCGTCACTATATTTTCTGCACCGTTCGCCCAGCGAACAGTGCAACCGTTGAAAACAACGGTAGGAGAATCCCAAACAAGAGACGCCTGCCAGTGAGGCCAAACCCCTGTCTATATCTTGGAGAATAGGAGAAGACTTTTAATAGTGCTAGAAGGCATGAAAGGGAGAAATGAAAGAATGCCTGGGTTTGAGGAGTTTGATCATGTGTCCTTTATATCTTCGGATGTCTCGTCAGGGGGCTCTGCAGTTTGCACTTGCTCTTGTACGCTCTCTTCAAAGGGGGCACTTCTTGTAGTGGTGGTGCTGCCACTGACAGCAGAAGCACGCCTCGCAGTAGGGTCGAAAGTAGATTTAGCAGCATCATCCTCGTCCTCGATGGCCAATGGGACAGAAAGCTTCGACTCGTCGTTTTGCATCTGCTTCCGCAGCCTCAGGCGCTCTTCTGGGGACATGTTCTGCAACTCCGAACCAAAGGTGATCACCGAAGCCTTCTTTCCATGCACAGTAAAGCTCCCCGTACCGCGGGCTAAGCCTTCGCTTTCGGTCAGAGAGGAATTGTCTTCGGTGGGAACGGCACTTCCGGCGGAATCTTTGCCTTTCCTGCTTCGATGATGTGTGGGAGGGTGAGAATCGCGTAGGGTACGATGTAGACTTCGTCGAACTCTAGACCTTCCGTCATAGTCAGTTTCCGAGGGTTTGGATTTTTCCCGAGTTGTGTCTCCGTCGGATGTATCTGGGCGCTTTGCCTTAGCAGTGGAGGGACTTTCTGGTTCAACAAGGCCGGCCTCTTGCAACACTTCTTGTTCGTTCTCATCCATACTTTGAGTGGGCGTGACCAGCTTTGTAGCTAGATCGCTGGAGTCCAATACTTTAGGCGTGTCCCTTACGCTGCGCGAAGATGGCCGAGGTACCAGGGAATGCCGAGTCGGCTGGGCCATTGCAATGCTAGATTCAGACTTGACGGAAGACTTCGCTGGCTGGAAAGACAAAGGCGGCAATTCCCACGAGCCTTTTGATCTGTGATTAATACCTGACAGTGAAGGCCGGATTGACTCAAAGACATCATCCATACTGAAAGGTTTTGTTGGTAATGGCTGAGTGGCAGGCCGCACTGCAGAATCCGCTTGTTGAGTAGCTCGAGGAGCTGTCTGGTAGCTTTCGGGGAGCTCAAACTTTTTGGAATCAGGTCCTACCGGCGAGGGTGCTGGCAGAATCGAGCCTATTACGCTGTCATGCCCCGAACGGCGGTCATTACTCGACTTGAAGTCTTCTTCGAGATCCATGGCCAGAATATCTCGGTGACATCGTGTGCGCCAATACTCCATTCGCATCCACTTAATCTTCGCAGCCATTCCACCAGCAGCGAGCACGATTTGTTCCCTCGTCTTGTTCTGTATGGGAGCTAAGATCTGTAGATGCCTAGCATTCCGTAGCTGTATGTCCAGCTGCTTACCGGCCTCGTTCAGCTTGGCGTCTGCTTCCGCTATCTTTTGGGCCATAATCTGTCGTCTCGCTGCTTGGATTTGATGAGCAAGTTCAGCATCGGCTTTGTTATCTTGCAGCGATGCTTCACTATGCGTAGTATGCACCGATCGTGCGGAGTTGCCGGAATTCAAACGACGCATGGCGCGAGTCTTTTGACCATCAGTACTTCCTCCGATGAGACCTCTCATGCGTACACCAGCTGTCCGAAATGCCGAAGCGTAGTTCAACTTTGCAAGCCAGTCATTCATTTCAGCTTCATTATCCGCCAAGAAAGTCTCCTCGAACCCTCCATGACGCAC